GGAAATATTTTTCCTTCCAAGAACCAGAAAGAATGGCTCCATGGGCCACTTCAAAGCAGCACAATGTCAGCACAAATTAGTTGATAAATACAGATAGCAAACCTGGCTTTTGCTATTTGTAGGTGAGATTTGAATTCAAACTACACCTGCAAATGGACATTTTTCCTCTGCTGAATAGCAAAACTGTTTGCAAAGGAAAAGTGTCCAATTGCAGAAGCAGTCAGAATCCCAACTATGCCTGAAAACGGACTGATTTAATGGAGGTCGTTAGTGCTGTGAGCAAGCCCTGCTTACCAAGGAAAAACCAGAAGAGTACTTTAAGGACCCCTGTGTTTACCAGCCCTAAAACTGAAATTATGTATGATATCAGCTGTAAGGCAGGTAGTTGTGCTTTGGTGAAAATGGCCTACTTTGGTCTGTGAGGCCAGAGGTTTCTGACCACTATTTTATTTTATGATAACACAGGGCCTGAAAAAGCAGAATTCTTAATACATGCAGATTTCTAGTCAATCACAACATCATTTCCTATACAATCACAATCCAATAAAATTTGAATATTCCAATGAAACATTAGCACTTGACCCTACAGCAGTTCTTGAACCTAGAGCCTAGGGAATAGCAGATGGAGTCTGTACACCCATCACAAAACTCAGTACAAAAGAAGGGAACTACAGATGACACACCTAATACCTTGTAGTCTTTGTATATTGCCTAGCTCCAAAGTTGACATTATGGTTACTATGGGTGTAGTGGTGCTCTTAAGGACATTCCTGCTCAGACTTCCCATAGGCATCCAGTTGACCACAGAAAGAAAAGGATTCTAGACTAGAATGGCCTAGACCAGCAAGCTTTTATAATGTCGCTCTGGTATCTGCAAAGCCTCTGAGCTCCACTTCCCACCCCCACCATCCACTACGCCCTTTGTCTTGAGGATGGTTACTTTTTTCCCCCTTGGAAAATATATAGATCTGAAGGGAGGAGTTGGAAGAATACCACTCTTGCCCACATCCTTTTTCAGCTCCGTGTGCTTTTCAAGGTTTAGATCAGCAGTTCAGATCTGAAATGTACATAAAAATTGACATGGGAGAAGCTGGAAGGAAGGGGGAGAAATCTGAGAGAGGGAGGGAGTATAGATAGTATTGTCCCATTGCATACTCCCAGAATACCAAATGTACCCAAGGGTCAAAAAAAGAAAAGGAAAGGAAAGGAAAGGAAAGGAAAGGAAAGGAAAGGAAAGGAGAAAAGATTGATAATATGTGGTATTAATTATGGTCAATCTACTATATGAAGTGGATATAATTTTATGTCTGAGTTGCTCCTATGGAATTCAGAGACAGTAGTAGGGAAAGCACTACAAATACTTGAGTGCAAGTATTTGGATTTCTTATCCGCAAGCTTTTTGCTGTTTTTTTGAGTACAGATAGGGGAAGACATGCAGAGGATGGCTGAAAAGCAAAAAGCTACATTTCTTTCTATTCTTTCTGTATATCCCATCTTTAGTATTGCTATTCTAATGCATGTTAGATATAGTAAGCTAGGGATTACTAAATACCTATACAAAAACCTTGAATGGACAATATTACAGTGAATACTGAGCTACCATATCAGAAATATTTTTTGCTTTTAAACAAACTTTTTAGAAGGTGCCTGAATACTAATTTTATTTTCTTTCATAATTCTGTTTCCTATACTAGATGCTCATTCCAAAGTATCCACCAGATGGCACAATTGCTCAGAAAAACACAGTATAGTACTGAATATTCTCTTTATACCCTGTACTAAAAGGTTTATTACCAAGCCCAGATAGCAGTTCAGCACCTTCACAGCTTCACCTGATACAGCTGACAAGGAGACTAATGACACCCATCTCCAAATGCCCCAATAACCTCACCCAGCAACTTCATATTGATGTTAAAGAACCTGAAGGATAAGATGGAACTCTGCAGGAACTCAAAAACTCAGTCTACTGGCTGAAGCAGAAATCCCCCAACACTGCTTTTTGAAACCATCCCTACAGGTAACAAGTGCAACCACTGTATCACCATGGCTTCCAACCCAGACCTGCAAGGCAGGCCTAACAAGGTATCATGCTTGAGAACATCCAAAGTTATACATCAAGGTTTCCAAACACCAACCTAAACCCAGAATGAATTCAGTCTAGATAATCTATTTCATCCAAGCACACGTAGCTAGATAGCTGCCACTCTCTTGAGCACCGCACACAGAAGGAAATATTTGTGATTGTAACAACTAACATTCAATCTTCGAGATCAAGTGAAAGTGTCTTAAGAGATGGTTTCCACTACCTTCATATCACTACCTTCGTATCATTTCAACATCAAAATATTAGCTCCTAACATTGGAGTTAAGTCGGTTCACCTGTCAAATGCAGCTACTGCTCCACAGCCTGGGAGCTTCTGCTTACCATGACATTTCCTGACTGTTCATAGTTACACATAAACTCAGGCTTCACACAGTATCAAAGAGTCCAAGAGATAATGGCTAAGGCATTATCCCTGTAAATAAAATATGGCTGAAGGACACCTGTCAATTAAGTGATACTCTATGGTAGGGAATTTGCATAAACATGCTCAATGAGTAAATGACCCTAATTATGTGGGGAGAGAGTGCATGTTAAAAGACACTGGTGTGTTTATTAGTTTGAAGAAAAAACAGAAAACTGGTGTACTTAATATATTCCAAAGGTGCCATTAAAATAGTTGCATATAAAATAGGAGGTGTCCCAGGTTAAAGTAAGTTGGATTGCTCAAGCAACCAGCTGTAGGAAATCTATTTAAATGTTTAACCTGATCCATCTTGAGGCTAAGGGACAAGTCCTTAATCCAGAGGCTCTTGCTTTATTTGAATGACAGAGGATGAATAAGATGTCATTCTGAGTTCTCGCCTAAGTGCAGGTAGCAATAATTTGAAAAAGAAATAAATAATAGACGCTCTGGACATTTCAAGTAGGGCAGCAGCTTTCAGGAAAGATTTTTCCAACTTACCTTGCCAGCTGTCATTGCACACACAGAGTTTCTCTCCAGTCAAATCACAGTAGCCATGATCCGGACTTCCACAATTAGCTTTACAGTAAGGAATATCACAGGATTCTCCCTTCCAGTATTTGTCACATTCACAATACACCTGGCTTGGAATGGAGCTACTAGTTGTACACTTTCCATGCCCTGAGCAATTATTAGGACATGAATTTATTCTGTAATAAAGAAGATCAGAAAAAAGGAAGGAAATGGAGAAATGACACGCTGATTTTCAGGCCTTTATTTATACTTTAATATAATTGGGGAGGAAATCATTTCATGAAAGAGATAAGAAAATGGTTTCTAGCTGTAACCTTCAAACTTCTTACATCAGTGTTATCTCACGGAAGTCAAATGGAGCTATCTGATGAGCCATTCAAACGGCAAAATCAGAATTAGAAACAAATTATACTATGATAAGCAAAATATCAAGAGGTCATTCAAGAGGTTATGTTTTTATATTTCCAGTCTAGTATCTTATTATACTGTTATAAAGTTAGACCTAGAGGGGCAAATCTGAATAAGCAAGTGTCAAGCCAAGAAAACAATGGACGCAAAATACACTTTTCTTTCAGCTGAAAACGAACACGACATGGATTTCAGCTTCACTGCAAGTGAAACAATTATTTGCAGTATTTTTCTTTTGATGGTTTCCATGCAGGAAATTTATAATATTCAATGAGTTCTTAATGTCATAACATTTTAATGCTAGCCTTACACTGTCCCTCAAAATATTATGATTATATTTATTGATCAAAGAATGAAAGGAATAAAATAATGTATGTGTTATGTGCAAAAAGCCAGAGTATTAATATCTTACTAATATGCGTAATCTTACTCCTCAGTTTGGTAAAAAGAACAAATCTATTTCAACACCAGGGCTGCATATAGACTTCAGGGACACTATCAAGCCTGAGCCTATATTAATAGACCTCAAAGGCCAATCCCAGCACAAAGTACCCTGTAAAGACCAGAGCTTGCTCCTCAGTCCCTCCAACCTGTCTCTAGGATGCAGGAATTTAGCTAGGTTTTACTTCTGTTTGTCTTTAATTATCTATCTGCTTCTTATTTATTTTATTTACTGAATTGGTATACTGCCCTTCATGTATAGATCTCAGGGTGGTTCACAAGATAAAAAATACATGAACAAAACAATAACTCTGATCCCTCCATCCCCTCAGCAACGCATTTAGAAGGGTATAGGATGTTAATCAGCCAAAGGCCTGGTTAAAGATAAATGTTTTTGCCTGGTGCCTAAAGGCGCCTGATGAACTTCCCTGGGCAGAGCATTCCACAAAGGGGAGGCCGCTGCAGAAAGGGCCTGTCCTTGTGTTGCTACCCTCCAGACCTCTCATGGAGGAGCCATATATAGAAGGGCCTCAGATGATGACTGCAGGGTCCAGGTAGGTTCATATGGAGAGAGGCGGTCCTTAAGGTATTCTGATCCTGAGCCGTTTAAGGCTTTATAATTTAAAACCAGCACTTTGGCTGCCAATTATTTTCTGGGCCAAATTCAATGTAGTAGGCATATCCTCAAACTGTCTTACCCTGGTGAGCAACCTGGCATCAAATTTTGCATCAGCTGAAATTTCCAAACCATCTTCAGATGCAGCCCTACGTTGCTTCTGACCCTTCAGAACTTTGTTTGCCTTCTCTGAAATCCAATTTCTGGCTGTTTGGGATCATGCTTTTGTCTCTGGACCACTTGGGATGACAGCCAACTCCCCTGGGTCCTAAAACTCCACTTATTAGAGCCTGGCCTCACCGATGTATTTTTACCAGGTGGTAACACTTGCTGACTGCAGGATACTACCAAGCACTTAATATTTTTACCACAGATGGATAAAATTATCCTAAGAACCTGACAGGATGGTGCAGATAACTGGTTTACCAAGAATTTACCCACACACTATACTATAGTATAGTATAGTAGAATTTACCCCAGGCATAGGCAAACTCGGCCCTCCAGCTGTTTTGGGACTACAACTCGCATCATCCCTAGCTAACAAGACTATTGGTCAGGGATGATGGGAATTGTAGTCTCAAAACATCTGGAGGGCCGAGTTTGCCTATGCCTGATTTACCCCCTTGGTAAATAGCATCATCTAAGGTCAGTGTAGTAGTTCTAACCTGTGTTCCTATGAGATGCTTAGGGAGACTGGCATGGATAGGATGATACACCTGGCAATGTATTTCCCTTGCAGACAGGTGTAAAGAGGTCACTCACATTAACCTCCTAGCACTGGGTGTAGCATACCTTCACAACCCTAGGCCAAGGGACCCACTCCAAGAGCCATTCCAGCCAAGCTGTCTTATCTACTCAAGGTCTACAAACATTACTAATATATAATGTCTTGACCTGATTCGTTCATATCATATTAAAATCCTTTTGTTCTACCTGATTTAATTTGTTCCACAATAAATTATCACACAGCCTCATAAATCAACAACTCAGTCATGGAAGAACACAATATTTATACTAATTGTTGTTCCTGAAAGAACCTTTCTGATTGCATTTCTTCTCATGAGCATCTTTATATGAATTCTAACCCATTCTTTGCCAAACTCCCAATTTGCATAAGACGTCTTCAAATATCGTAAGCCCCAAAACTTATCTACTAAGAGAAATATATCTCTGCTGATTAATAAACAACAAAATGATACTTACGAGTAAAAAATATTAAATCCTGTTAGATTATAAGCAGCATCACTAAAAAAGTGTAGCAATGCATATCCTGATGTAGTAACAACTTCAGGTACAGTTTCATTTCCACGTACTTCAGGAACTATAAGACCACTGCAAAAAATTAAACATGAAAAGGTTAACGTAACAAGTAACATCGCAAATAAAAAAATAAGAATTTGAATAATTCAGTGGGTGCTCAGTACAATTTGGAAACATTCCAGAATTTCATTCCATTGCCCTGATTGAAGCAGAGTGTAAAAAATACAGAAATTCGTGCATTCTTAATGGGACTGTGTCTTTTTTCTTAATTAAAAGAGCCTGTCTCAGATTTCTATGCATTGCAATTTAAATACTATATCAGGAAAATTCATATGAAAATAGCTATTGGTGTGAAAAGATTGCATGATAAATTAAAGTATGTAGAAAGCAATATTTACTCTTTCCTACATTAAGTGTGAAATGCTTGGAACCAAGTTCATGTTGAAAGAATAGAAAAACAGTGAAGGAACTTTTAGTTTCAATCTGTTTGTTTCAAAATGTACTGAGCTGCCTTGAAACCAATAAAACTAACCATGTTCATAATTATATTTGGGGTTGGAAGAACTGTGCAGGATGGGATGCATAGAAAAGTCAAATGTGGTCAACTTTTAAGAACATGGGTTCACTCAAGGACGGATTAAAAACTCAACATGCCAATCCGTGGTGGAGAACCACTAGCCCCTGGGCTAATTGGGCCCAGCGGTGTTCCTCATTTGGCCTGCAAGGCCATTTTGGCCAAGCCACACCCACCTGTCCTACAGCAAATTTAAACTGTAATGCTAAATTTCCATTCACAAAAAGATTTTCATAAAATTGTAATAGAAGCTATTAAGCTAAAGTACTTACCTAAATACTGCTATTAAAGGTGCATATATTGAATCTCCATCGTAAACATACATATGGTCCCAACTACATTCTGTGGCAAAATGATTAAATCTTAGTCTTAAAACTGAATTAGGACTAGAAGAGAAGAAAAAAACAGCAAGAACGTTAGCAATAGCCTGTTCAGAAATAGCGTAGCTTATAATACAATGTAAATAAATATAAGGATGCAATAAAGTAGTATGAAAAAGGCAAGTATAATTTTCAAATGCAACTGTAAGCCTTCTTACTTATAATTGTGCGTGAAAGCAACAGTTTTGTATGTACAGTGTTACTGTTATTATTATTATTTTATTAAATTTGTATACTGTCCGTCATCCGTAAATCTTAGGGTGACTCAGAACATAAAAATAAAAAATACATAAAAACAAAAACAAATCAATAAACCTCAAATTATTATATTTACATACTGATTAACAGTAAGCACCTATCTTACTTGTAAGTATATAGGAAAATGTTGTTAGTTCACTATCTTAAGTAAATCAGAGTTTATCAACCTGAGAACAAGCTATGCAGCTGTATGTCGTCCTCCCACAGGGGCACCATTGGGGGGGCCAGGGGACCAGCCCCCATATTATCAAGGAGGAGCCCACCCACCGCCCAATTCCACGGCACTACTCAAAAGAATGTGCCAGGGCAAAGCATCTTTGCACTGGCGCATCCCTTTGACAAGCCAGGGTGCCTCCCAGGAAAGTGCTCTGTCAATCTCCGCCAGGGACATACCAGCGTAAAATGTCTTCGCGCTGGCGTGTCTCTTTCAGGATTTCCAGGGCGCCTACCAGGAAAGTGTTCTGGTGATCTCCACCAGGGATGCACCAGTGCAAAGTCTTTGTACTAGCACGTCCCTTTCACGACTGCCTGGGGGAAGGTGCTTGGTGATCTTGACGGGCCTCAAGGAGGAGGAGGAGGGCTTGCTAAGGTGGCCTTGACCTTGCGGCAGCGAACAAAAAAAAAGGTGGCTGGTGGTGGAGGGGGTGGAGAACTGTCCCGCCAAGCTGGCCTGGCCAGGTTGGGGGCAGCATGTATGTGACATCATGCATGTGCAACAGCCCAGCCCCATGTTGGGGGCAACTCAGCATGTCCGTCTTCCCATTTCTCTTTTGCTCAACTTTCTGCACCTAGCTTCAGAAAAGTTATTTTAGTTTTTTAAACCACAGTTTTCCCTGAACTGGTTAGCTGTGGTTCAAAGACCCCCTCCAAATGTGGATATGAATCCATAGCTGAGGGAGAAACCTAAAACCATAGCTTCCCAGTTCAGACATTATGGGAAACTATTATTTAAGAAACTAATAATAAAATTGTATACATGACGATTCAAATGTCAGTCACACAGATATCAGTGGGGCTTACTCTCAGGTAACCAGATTCACATTTCAAGCAGAGAATGTATGGTGAGAGAAGAGGAAGTGTAGGGGTAAAAGGCTTGTTCCCATAAAACCATGGCATACTAAACCAGGTCTAGGATTGCTGGAACAAGCTAGAGAAATGCACGTGCAAAACAGAAATCAAAAGTATTAGAAATGAGTAATCAGTTATTGCAATTTTCATCTTTAAGTATATTAATTTCAGTGCATGGTATATTTCAAGTGCAACACATCCATTAACTGTGGTTCGGAAGCAGCTAAATCAATAAAAGCCATTTGCGGATTAAGGATATGCATGGAGCTGGCACCAGTACCTGGCATCCTTGGCCTGGCACACTGGTACTGACACCTGTTTTGCTCTGTCAACCACCTGTTCTCTAGCTGCAGGATTGCATGCTGGCAGCAGCCTGGTCTAGGAAACTGTCCTATGTTAAAATTGCCCACAACACCCAACACAGCATCTATTTCAGAAACTGTGGGGAACTGAAATAAATTTAACATGACAGGTGACTACCCAGCCTCTGCTGCAAGGTAAGCCTAAGGCGGGCATGGCATCCATACTTCAAGCTGGACCCAGACATGCAACAAACATTAGTGTTAAGTCCTCCTGGTCCATGATGCATTTCTGATTCAATGTTCAATGCAAAGCTTCCCTATTCCCGTTTCCAAAATTAAGCTGTGTCCTGATTTGGAAATTCACCAGGAGATAGTGAAACCTTAGAGCAAACATTAGTAACTGTTTATCAAGGGGAAATGTTACACAGAACAATACTCTTTGCGTAACACTATGCTCTGAAGTTAAAAGCCTAGTTTATTACAGTGTTGGAGAACCACTCCTCCAGATGTTGTTCAATTACAAATCCCATCATCCTTTACAACTGGCCAGGCAGGCTGGTACTTATGGGAGTCCAACAACATTTGGAGGGCCACCAAATCCCCAGCCTTGGTTTGCAAGAAGACATTAATGCAAAATATATACTTACTATCCTTCAATTAACCATGTACATTTAGTTTTGTATTTATAATTAATTGGTCCATCTGTTAAATATCCAGAAGGTTCAGTTAACCTACAAAAGAATAAACCAGGAATAATTAGCCTTATAAGCCCATGTATTTTCCTCTCCTTAAGAACATACCTATATATAAATATATATTTAACTTGAGTAAAAATGTGTTTCAAAAACACAAACTTAATTGACATAAAAATATTTCCTACATTCCTCTTGTTAATATTTCTCAGCTGCTTGCCCTAAAGTGACTTGTAATGCAACAATAAAAATATAATAAAATAATAGTAAAATAAAAGGTGAAAAATATCTGAACAGGTCTACTATGCATCGAGTCCCCTTAAAAAGTGTGTATTGTGGAATAAACTAAGGTGGGTGGTCTTAGTATTGACCTATCTTCAATGGCCATTATCATGTGTCCTGCAAAAATATGGTTTAGTGTGATGTGCATGAACAGAAACAGCCACGGTATGCCTTAGGCTCTGTTACAGAAACCCTCCTATATGGCTGGGAGACATTCAAAATCTCTCACTTCTGCTTTTGGTTAACCCCTACTTGCCATGTTGTCCAGCCTCAGAATTATGGTTTAGACTCAGAATTAATATTATCAATGGTTAGTTAAACAAGCCATTAGAAACCAAAGTTTGAAGACAGCTTGGTTTAAACTAACCACAGTTAATTATAACTGTTGGTCCATGCAACAACAAAAACCATGAGTAACCAAACACAGAGACTTCCAAACCCTTGTCTCAGTCACATGCAAGGAGAAAGAGAAAGGGAAGCATGCCACTTATTCCTGCTTGTGCAAGCCATGTTAAAACCATGTTTAGTGTGGCATATAAATACAACCAATGGTCATTTAGTGCACATCCCTTTCAAACAAATTGGTCCATAATTATATGGCCAAAGTGCATTTGGAATTCCATTAGGAACACTATGAGGAAGATGAGCATGGATAAGAAGAGACAGAAGGAAGACAGATGTAGTGGCAGCAGTGGCTGACAACTGATGAAGAATGAAGGGGTCAACCTATAAGTAAACACATTATATTATAAATCATATTTAATACATTACTTGTCT